TCCAAGCTCTCTTTGACACGAACAGGAAAGTCACTGTGTGGCATTGAAAGGCGTTGAAGGATTACCTTACCAGTACACTGTGCTGCTCTTTCATAACGGGAGACGAAGATGACCATTCCAGAGGAACTTCATGCTTTGCACTGTGAGTGCTTCAGTGGTTTTTATTTATCCAGCCACCAGTCACAAAATCATGTGTCAGATTCAGCCAGGATGGCTAGAGGGAGTTGGGTAGACATGTGTGGACATTGTCTAGCCAAGTAGTACCAACTTTTGCACTGGTCTTGTTGGGGTTACGGCCGCAAATGACAAAAGCTTTGTCACCTCTGTAAATGTACAGATGTGTCAGATAAGATTAGCTGCATTCGAGCTTTCTATAACTGATAGCTGCCAACATTCTTTATTGTACAGAGTTTTGTTCCTCACTTGTGGATGTGAGCACTCCACAGAAAAAACACTACAAGTCTACTTACGGAAGGCCCCAAGGCCCTACATGTAGGTTTTTTCGCCTTGTTATCATAAGCACCTCGTTTGGGTGAACATGATCATTGTAAACATGTAAACCAAAAAATTAGGATGAGTGGTCATTCTGGGGCATTATGTTTCTCGCAATACTCTGTAAGCGTGTTGTGCATTATGTTGTTAATCTGATTCAAGTGCATAGACAGTCACGCAGTGGAAACGTTCTGTTTGGCGTCTCATAAGTCAGTTGCCAGACTTTGGGTTGCTTGTTGCCAGACTGCCACCAAATTTAGCGGAGAAATTTGCCTTTATAGTTGTGGCTTATCCGTGGGGGTTTCATGTCGTCCGCGGTGCATTTCACGAGTGTGTGAGCTATGTTGGTCGTTTTAATTAACAAAATGAACATAAAACGAGTGTTCCAGAAGTCGGGGCACGTTCTTTTGCTGTGTGCGCAGCTGTGCAATTAAGAGATCGCATCTCAGTATTAGGAACGACGGGGAAAGCTGAATAGAGTCGCAGCAGGCAGTGCGCCGCCCCCCCCCCCCTTCTTTTTTTTCACAGCTGATCGTGCCGCGTTGACCACGTGCCACGACCGGGACGCTACGCTTCCACTAGCTGTGTCAGCACAAGACATATCGTTTGGACTCGTGTACATGTGACGAATAAACGTCGCAAGGCCAGCTAATCGGGGTACGTCGGATATGCTACCGCTACATATGCCTGGAAGGCTGCTTTATCGACGCAGTTGGAGCGAATTAAGCGCGACTCGCCCGTACCTGTCTATGGAACCCCGCAGAAGCATTCAACATTTGGAATTTTGGTCGTTTGTGCTTATTGTTGGTGCGGCCCTGCAAGCGACTCCGGCTGGTCGGCGGGGTCCTATTTACAGGTACGCGCGAGTCGCGCTTAATTCGCCCCAACTGCGTCGATAAAGCAGCCTTTCAGGCGTACGTATCCGACGTACCCCGATTAGCCAGCCTTGGGACGTTAATTGCTCACATGTGCACGAGTCCGAATGATATGTCTTGTCGAATGTACGGAATCCGCACATACGCTACGTTTCAGTAGGGACGCGAACTTCTGAGCGACAGAGGGTGTGTTTTTCTATCCGAACCCGTCGAAGCATTGCTCGTTCAGGGTAACTTCGTTGACCGCAAGACGACCGAAAATCATCCGTGAACCAATGGCTTCACCGAACAATTTAACTGCACTCTCGGCAATATGCTGACGATGTACACCGCATCCGACCAGGCCACCTAGGACGCCGTTCTTTCTTTCGTCACATATGCGTAGAACACTGCGACGCAACCGACCACGGGAATTTCACCGTTCTTTCTGTTCTGACACGCGCCATCATGCATGCTAGACACCATGCTTTATTACACACCTGACGCCTGCGAGTACAGTCCAGGGTAAACTGGTGTGCGCAAATGCAGACTGTGTCGTTGTCTTTTTACCTTGAATTATGAGCCAACTCGCCCAGCTACAAATTTTACAGTCCCATTTCCGACATTGCCAGGTACGCAGAAGATTGTCGATAGTACACTCGTTCCTTTACGAACGAGGAGCAAGGTTGCCAGAAGCGTAAGCGTGATGGCCACCGACTTCATGCTACGTTCCAAGCGGGTGCCCTAGTTTGGCTCTTGGTCCCACCGAATACTCCTGGCCTGTCCTCCAAGTTATTGACTCACCATCACGGCCCCTACCACATCTTGCTCGCACTTCTCCCGTCAATTACGAGGTCGAGCACTTGACACCATCTGACGACTTGCGTCATCGCGGCTGAGAAATCGTCCACGTCTCTCGCATCAAGCCATATTATGACCCAGCTACACTACCAACGCCTTAAGTCGCCAGGATGGCTCCTCTATTCCCCGGGGGCAAATGTAGTGAAGGAAAAACGAAATACACGAGCAAGCAAACAAGCACCAGCGTCATTAGCAGCACCAGACTCGAGCTCACGCTTGTCCAGATTTCGGCTGCCTGACAACCGCCAGTCCTCGACGCTTCACGTTTAACGTTTGTCGAGCTTCCCTGACGTCCAGAGTCAATAAACCAAGTCACAAAATGCACGCACTAAGTCAAGGAATACTTACACTGTTCCTACACCGTAGCATCTCAGCTGATGTATGCGGTCATTCGATCCGGCTATGACCAAATCAGCGTCACCGTATTTTCACCCATTGACTCAAATAATTGAGGCTTTTATGCATGCACTCTAGCACTCGAAATAAACTAAACACTTATATCCCCCTGAAAAAAATAGGCTTTGAATGTTCCCATAGAGGCCTTTATTAGGAAGGTAATTTATTCATCAAACGTGCGAGCATAAAACGTTTTGCTTGTATCTGCAGAACTAACGCAACTGAAGAACAGTCAGACAAGAAATTAGCAATTTATATATATTACTTGAACATTATAGAACAATGTAGACATTACTTCTGCCGTAGCCTGAAAACAATCTTCGCAAAAAGGTGAACATCTCCCTGAAAGACTTTATCATGGAGTGTGAACAGCCCTTGCGATGAAGAGTCATTGATGTTGCTATGACCGAACGAGTGCATACACTTTGGGCACAACTGGAAGTCTGTGGACGCTTTATTGCATTATCAACTCCTGCAAGCAGACGGTACAAGTTATCTTTTTACCTTACATGTCATTTTGCTATGTGTTGTTTTAGCTGTTCCTTTTCTATCTTGGGCAAACACTTTTTTCCCTCCTCAGAAAGTATAGAATCAAGAAAATATAAACTTCAGCCTCTCCACATCAAGCCAATTAAGACGCAACATGGATGGCCGGCTGGGGTGTGTGCATGCACAACGACACACACAGATCAAGTTCATACGTAAAGCTTGGTGCGTGCACTCTTGTGGGCACCAGACCAGGTAGATAGGTAATACTTTTTTTCTTTCTTTTATCAAGTGAACCGTAAAGGTCTGAGCAATGACTCACCATGTCTTTTTTAAAGAAGGTATCTACTGACTTTTTGAAAGAAGCCTTCAATAAATACAAGAATGTTGTAAAGTTGGAGGCGATGCCAGACCCTAGGGTAGGCTGTTTGTCATTTAGGACCAAATGGATTCGAAAATAGGCGAGTCTACCTTGTTTTTCACGTCTTCGATGACCAAGTGTTGCATGGCGTGCGCCACTGCAAAGCCACCTAGAGTCAGTTATGCACGCTGTCTGTTCTCAGCTTGACCCTCTTTCGTGCCCAGGTGTCTTGGCTTGGTTTGTTTCAGTTAATGTACACCTATAGAAAACGAGCCAATTGTTCTTTTAGATAGATAGATAGATAGATAGATAGATAGATAGATAGATAGATAGATAGATAGATAGATAGATAGATAGATAGATAGATAGAACAGATAGATAGATAACAGATAGATAGATAGATAGATAGATAGATAGATAGATAGATAGAATAGATAGATAGATAGATAGATAGATAGATAGATAGATAGATAGATAGATAGATAGATAGATAGATAGATAGATAGATAGATAGATAGATAGATAGATAGATAGATAGATAGATAGATAGATAGATAGATAGATAGATAGATAGATAGATAGATAGATAGATAGATAGATAGATAGATAGATAGATAGATAGATAGATAGATAGACGGATGGATGGATGGATGAATGGACGGACGGGCGGATGGATGAATGGACGGACGGGCGGATGGACGGACGGACGGACGGGCGGACGGACGGACGGGCGGACGGGCGGATGGACGGACGGGCGGATGGATGGATGGATGGATGGATGGACGGACGGACGGATGGACGGACGGATGGATGGATGGATGGATGGATGGATGGATGGATGGATGGATGGATGGATGGATGGATGGATGGATGGATGGATGGACGGATGGATGGATGGATGGATGGATGCCGCATACACTCATGTAATGGCTGGTTCAATGTAATGTAAAAGCTGCGGTAAGAACTTGGTTTAAAAGCTCTCCCAAAAATGCCGGAAGGTTGCACTAAGTGGCGCAGCACAGCGAAGCTGGTCGATCGTCGAGTCTTCAGGCCGGTTTCTGCTGTGTTGTAACTGGTTCTTGCTAGATTTCACCACGCTGTTGTGGCTAGGCTTTGCTTTAGGATTGTATATCTTTACTGTACCAAGCTTGGAGCTATTCGGTGAAAAGTTTACACATTTTTGTCTCTCTGTAGTATTTATATATTTCTTTCTTTCTCAATCTTTTAAGGTTTCCCTCTTCCCTACTCTTCACGTATCTCACCCTCTCTTCCATTTACTGCTATATGATACTGCATGACAACACATAGGGCATATAGTACATATAATAGTATAGGATAGGCCGGTGGGCGCTTCATGTCACACCAGCGGTAGCGAGCGTTGCGAAAGCTTTGTGCACAAAACAGAAATATCATTTAGTGTTTCCACGTACAAGAAGAAGGGGGAGTTCATTTGTGTGCCCAATACACTTGCTACGCTAAACCTCCAGATTGCGGGATAAGGAAGACGATAAGCTGCTCTCCTGGCCTCGTTCCCGCTGGACTTGCGCCAATGTCTCACGGCATTCTGCGCCGTGCAATTCTGCTCACATGCAACACCTAGGAGCGCTGAAAAGCGACTGCGGAAAATTGACACCGTCTGATACTGTAAGTACTCTCGCGGCATGATCACCTTTCCGTACTGAAGACCCAACGGGATAAAATAAGAAAACATAACGGACTTCCTTTTTGGATTCTTCCAATCATTCGCTCAGTTTTCAAGTGTGCTTATAAATAATCACTCGTTGCTATTAGTCATATATTCTGTATACGTGTCTCTGAACGTGTCCTGACTTGACCACCTACAAACAAGCAATAGCAGATTTGTGTTCTTGGCTCATTGACGTTACGCTAAGTTGTATCTACGACGGTGAACAATTCTGGTCGGCAGGTGATATTCTCTCGAACAGTGGTGGCACTTCTTATCACGCCCTCCCAACCTCATGCCGCATAGACCGCCAAGTGGAGCAAATATACACAGTTGGTATTCGATGGTGACGTGAACAATGCGTGAGGCAAGGAAGCGACGAGTAAAATATGCGAAAATGGACTGAATGTTCCCGATGCGGATGTGCATTAGATAACGAACATATCTTAGCTGTATAAGCATGTTCAGTGAAGCTGTAGCTAACGGAAAGTGAAGCGAATTGCTCTCGCTGACAAAGAAATAGATTACCTCAGTTCATCTGGTCAAATAACCTATAATACAGTGCGGTTGCGTTTTATTGTGGTTTATTGTTACTTGTGTGTTCTTTACAAGTTTGCTGTCATGCGCAAATGAATGAACGATGATTGCGTGTGCTATTTCGTTCTCGTTTACCACGCTCGTGTTAGTACAATGCAAATAGTACTCGTTGGTTCCTTGCTCTTGTGTGTCTCACGCGTGACGTATTGCAAGTAACCGTGCTACATGTAACGCGTTACTTACTTCGTTAACTCGTTATGTACTCGTTACCACTTCAAAACTGTAACGAGTAACGTACTACACCGTTAACATCTTTCGGTTACTTGAGTTCTCACGTTAATTTGTGTTCCACTTGCCCCGAAGTTATTTTGTCGTGACGGTAACACATACGCCGCCGAGCTCTCGTATAGCGTAGTAGTGGTCGTAGTCACTAAAAAGTGCTCCACGTTGTCCAATGACATCTTTGAAATAGAGCTCTTCATTGCGCTGCAGTAGACAGCGTACAGGTAGCATACGACTTTAGGCAGCAAACAACAGCATTGGAATTCTATCACTGCCATATGGTTTTCTTTTCAAAATGAAGTATATTTATCGACTATTGAGGCTTCTATTGTCACGACGCTTTAGTGGGGTTTTTTAATAAGCCACTGGGTAACTAACTTCTGAAAAATGCGCCATCCGCACCTGACTATCGATCTTCTTTTCTTCTCTGGCGACAGCCGCTTTAGCCCTAAACCGATGATGGGTGCGTAGCAGCATAATTTTTGAACAAACTAGTCTAACACCTTCATGTAGGCATTCGCCTTGTTTTAGCAACTTTTACATAATAAAGAGGAAAAATCGTATACGTTTTCAAATATTTACGGAAGTATTATTGAAAGACGAGCTAGTTGGAATGAGTGCATCGTAACTAATTTTCAGCGCACACTGACTCACCGACAAAGAAAAGAAGGGTACACCATCAGTACTATCAGCTGCTGATAGTTGATAGTGAGTTGATAGTAGCGCTGCTGTTGTACCATTCTTTTTTGTCTGTGTGTCAATGCGCGCTAAAAATAAGTTACGATGCAAACATTTTCTCCCTGACCTGAGCATTTCTTTGTGATATATGTGAGCACATATTTCTTGTTAAACAAAAAGAGTCTGATTTAGAGTAAACTTGTTGGGAGCGTTCATGACAAATTCTTGCAATGTGCTTAAATAGGACGAAAGCGCGTGTCGCCTGCTCGGCGCCACCGCCAGCCGGCTGCGGCAACCAGCTTGGCGCAGGGGCAGCAGACGACAACAGTACGTTTGTCGTCTGCTACAGTTGTGGCCGCCCTTCCGCTTATCGCGATGCGCAGGTGAAGTCGCAAAATCTTATAAATACTCGCTTTTCATCGAGCTATAAGAAAAATGACGGTAATGATCTAACTGAACGCTGGGCAAGTTGGTAACTCTTAAGTACCCCTTGCAAAAATCCTATTTATGGACTTATATAAAAATCCCCATATATGGCTACATCAGGAATTGGGCATATCTGGCCCATATACGGAATCCCCATATATGGGCCGTATATAAACTGATATGTTCAAATCCTGATATAGCCATATATGGGCCTTATATCCCCATATATGGGTGCTGCTGTATATGGCCATATATGGCTATATATAGAGGCATCCATATAAGGTCTTATATGGATGCTTTCATATATGGCCTTATATGGATACCTTTATATAAAGCCATTCAAATGATTCATCTATATTAGTTCAGCCTGTGTCACCGGCAAAAAATATAGCTGCTCAAATCATTCTTCAGCTAGAAATATACCTGTTTGTTGAAAGGTCTGCATGCAGTCACTATCATCTCCAAAACAAAGGCAGTACATACCCCAGAACATTCTTGTTCAATTAAGTTATCCTCAATATATCTCAAGTTATTCTCAACAACAATTTGCTAAAATGTAACTTGGCATCATATTTAAAGTTTGTGGTGGGCACATGTCACTGTTAGTCCACTTTTCCTGAAGAGATACATTCTTTGTGCTTAAATTTATTGCTTACTTATCGACACTTTTTTATTTATCTATTTATTTCATTACCCACAGCACCAATTGGCATTACATTGGGGGAGCATTTACGAAAAGTAGAATACAAAAAATACATAGTCAGCCAAACAAATTATCAAAGTCACCTGAATCATGATATGTGGGGTTTAACGTCCCAAAACCACTATGTGATTATGAGAGACGCCGTAGTGGAGGGCTCCGGAAAATTTAGACCACCTGGGGTTCTTTAACGTGCACCCAAATCTGAGCACACGGGCCTACAACATTTCCGCCTCCATCGGAAATGCAGCCGCCGCATCCGGGATTCGAACCCGCGGCCTGCGGGTCAGCAGCCGAGTACCTTAGCCACTAGACCACCGCGGCGGGGCAAAGGTCACCTGAATCACAATCTGCAAGAAAAATTCATATATAAATCGGAACATGTTCTAACATATAAATCGGAACAATTCTAACATGAAATAAAACAAATATTTGGGAGTGTAGAGGCAATACTAGAAGGCAGCTGGTTCCATCTTGTAATTTTTTTTGGTAACAAATCATTTTGAAACACGTCAGTCTTGCATGCGATTATTCTTATCTTGAACCTATGGTCAACACGGTCTGAGACATAGTACGGTGCAAGTAAATATTCCGCTTTATCGATTCCGACTTGACAAAAATAAATAGCATAAAAGAACCCAATTTGAGTTTCGTAAAGATATATTTCACAGTGTGTTATGTTTAAAACTTTTCTCGTGTGTCAATGGAGCGTCCATAGTCAGTCAAAACGAAATATGACTTGCTATTGACCGTATGAACTGCGTGTGCATTGAATAACTTAAATGAGTTGATAATCGACTTTTAAGAAGTTCGCTCGAAATTGATTGGTATGCAAGCTTGTTATGTACAAGTATTGTGACTAATGACCTATAGAACGACTGCTAAAACTGGTGTCTATAGGTCTCTGTGCGCGTGGGAACGGAGGCATTTAACAATATTTCTTGCCAACGGGACACTAAAAATGTACTTTGTAAACGTAATCCGCTTTCCATTTTGCCAATAATGCATCATTAACGTAACAGTTGTAAAGAGCTCATTCTGCAGAAATTCCGGTGTAGGCATCGGTGGCTCTCCATGAAAAATCATCTTGTCAATGATCGAAAATTGAGAGAATGCAAATAAAACAAATATTATAAATTTTCGCGTTTGAGTGATGATCGAAATCATGCAGGCAATTTGCATGGCATGCAAGTGCTCTACAACACAGCTATGCATCTGCTTGGAAATAAAGCATGAATAACTTCCTCTTGTTGTAAACGCAAGGAAAATAACTGTCATGCTTAATAGATACATGTATCCTGCATGCAGGTTTCACAACACCTTTAATATAGCAGCTATATTGCATGATACAAGCGTGCATTGTCATCAAGCATCACAACACGTTATTACCAACGTGACTTCGCGGTCTAAAGACAGCCAACCATTACAAAAGGCACACTGGTTACTGCACGTATTTCCTCACGACTGCGTAGTGGGTGCATAAAGTTCTAAAACATTTTACACACATTATATTGAGAAGCACGTTCTGCTGGGCGAGTTGGTACTTCATATTAACTTAGTTGCGCGAAAAAATTTGAAGTGCGAAAGGAAGACACCTGGACACAGCGCACACTAACAACTGAAACTTTATTGAAGAAAACAGACATATGTATGCGGTTACGACAACACGTGAGGTGGAAAAAAATGATTAGATGAGCAGACATCTGATATTTCTTTCGCAGTGTGGACATCGTGTGGTGGACGGCACTGCGCTGTCGTGTGGGAAGTATTATTTAGAATTTATTTATGTAATTGTAGATCACAAAGCTTCTTTAAAGGAATTAACAACCATTCTTTAACCAATCATCATATTGTAGAGAGTGTGGCTGCGCGCCCCTGTTTGGAATACGGTAGTTAAAGCTAAATTCAGTGGCACGGTATAGCGCGGGAAATCGGAGAGGCGTATTTCATAAACAAAGCTGGGGATTCATGTGTCACGTAACTCTCATTTATGTTGCTTGCTACTGAGGAAGCTTTCCTGGAAGCGCATCATTTATACAATCTGTCTGCTCATCTAATCCTTTTCTTTCACCGCACGTGTTCTCGTAACCGCATATATACGTATGTCTGTTTTCTCCAACAATGTTTCAGTTGTCAGTGGGTGCTGCGTCTAGGTGTCTTCCTTTTGTATTTCAATTTTTTGGCGCAACTCAGTAATTACATAATATTTCTTGTTCTTTAAACTATGTTACCCCCTTTTTACACAAAATGCAGCCATGTGCGAAACCTTCGTTGAGACACTTTCAACCTTCTCAATTACACAGTACTATTCCACAATTAAATTTGTTTAAGTAGCAT